AGCCTCCTGAGTAGCTGGGATTACAGGCACATGCCACCATGCCCAGCTAATTTTTTGTATTTTTAGTAGAGATGGGGTTTCACCATGTTGACCAGGATGGTCTCGATCTGTTGACCTCGTGATCCACCCGCCTCAGCCTCCCAAAGTGCTGGGATTACAGGCTTGAGCCACCGCGCCCGGCCATGAATGTATTCTTAACAAAAACAGAGAAAAACAAGAAAGAAACCAGAGCATGAAACAACTGTTTTTCTATATCATGGGAAGTGGACAAAGGGAGTGGGAAGAATTTCAGCACTAGAAAGCCCAGATAGTCCATGTCCTTATTTTATTTTTGAGACAGAGTTTCGCACTTGTTGCCCAGGCTGGAGTGCGATGGCGTGATCTTAGCTCACCGCAACCTCTGCCTCCCAGATTCAAGTGATTCTCCTGCCTCAGCCTCCCGAGTAGCTGGGATTACAGGCCTGTGCCACCAAGCTAATTTTGTATTTTTAGTAGAGATGGGGCTTCTCCATGTTGGTCAGGCTGGTCTCGAACTCCTGACCTCAGGTGATTCACCCTCCTCAGCCTCCCAAAGTGCCGGGATTAAAGGCATGAGCCACCATGCCCAGCGAAGTCCTCTCAGTGACATTCACTCCTCCTAGGCTAGCATACCCCAGAGAGGTGGAGCGCACTCTCTGTCATTCTGGGAAAGCTCTGTCAGTAAGAACAGCCTTGCTCATGGGGCTTGTAGCAGCCTCCCGTGACTGTCTCACGTCCCTGGCTCTTAAGGGGCTCCTCCTCTTTGCACTCAGTCTTTGGGTTAGCCTGGCCCCAACCTGACCAGTCTGATGGCCACCCGTAACATCTCCACAACCACGCCTTTGGTCAGCACAGTGCCCTGCTTGCCATCCAGGCATCTACAGCCTTTCAAACCAGATGGACTGTCCTCTTCTTAGATTCCTTCTAAGCCATTCTTCCACAATGGGCTTCTTTAGGCTCAGGGAGACCAGTGTCTCCACAGGACAGAGGGATCCCTAGGGACAGGACCCAGGCCCTGGGCAGGCTCACGAGGTGTCTCTGATGGAGGGCATGGTCTACTGCCATAGCCTTAAGGGCACAGAACACAAGCTGCCAGAGCAGGGCCAGTGTCAGCTCAGTTCCCGTGGGCTCTGCTTCTTCTGGCCCTAGCCTGGCTGCCTCCTCCAGACACCTGCCCCAAACAGCCCTAGTCTTACAACTGGCATGGGTCAGGCCAGGGTGCAAGCCCTTCTCGGGATCTCAGACTCCTCTTTCCTCCACCTCCTGCCTTCCACTCTGCAACACTGGGAAGGGGTGGGGGAGGATAAGCCCCTCTCAGGCTATGGAGGAATGCAGGCCCACCTTTCCCCAGGAGCAGCCGCAGGCCACAAGGTCAGGGCAGATAGTCTGAGATAGATAGAGCCTTTCTGATGCGGTCTGGCTGTGTCCCCACCCAAATCTCATCTTGAAGTCTCACGTGTTGTGAGAAAGAGCAGGTGGGAGGTAACTGGAAAATGGGGGCACGTCTTTCCCATGCTGTTCTTATGATAGATAGTGAGTTGCACGAGAGCTGGTGGTTATTACAAGGGGGAGTTTATCTGCTCAAGCTGTCTTGTCTTGTCTGCTGTCATGGGAGACATGCCTTTCATCTTCCACCATGATTGTGAGGCCACCCCAGCTACATGACACTGTAAGTCCAATAGACTTCTTTCTTTTGTAACTGCCCAGTCTGGGGTATGTGTTTATCAGCAGCAGGAAAAAGGACTAATACACCTTCCCTCCTGGAGTTGGCCTGGAGGAGCAGAGAAGCAGGAAGGGGCACCACAGTGCTGGCAACAACAATCACCTCTTTGCCTTATTTATTTATCTATTTTTTGAGACAGGTCTTGCTGTGTCACCCAGGTGGAGTGCAGTGGCGCCATCGTGGCTTGTCCTCCCGGGATCAACTGATTCCCCCACATCAGCCTTCTGAGTAGCTGGGACTGCAGGTGCACACCACGATGTCTGGCTAATTTTCTCTGTATTTTTTTTTTTTTTAGCAAATTTTTGTTTTTGTTTTTTTTTTTCAGAGACAGGGTTTCGCCATATTGCCCAGGCTGGTCTCGAACTCCTGGGCTTAAGCAATCCACCCATTGTGTCCTCCCAAAGTGCTAGGATTACAGGTGTGAGCCACTGTGCCCAGCCTATTTATTATTTTTATTTATTTATTTTTGAGACAGAGTCTTGCCCTGTAGTCCAGGCTGGAGTGCAGTGGTCATAACTCATTATAGACTCACACTCCTGGCCTCAAGCGATCCTCCCATCTCAGCCTCCTGAGTAGCTAGGACTACAGGTGCACACCACTATGCCTGGCCAATTTTTAAATTTTTAGTGGAGACAAGGTCTTGCTATGTTGCCCAGACTGGTCTTGAACTCCTGCCCTCAAGCAATCTTCCTTCCTCGGCCTCCCAGAGTGCTGGAATTATAGGCATGAGCCACTGCACCTGGCTGTCTCTGATTTTAGAACAATGTTTAACAAGGATTCAGAGTTCTTTCCTCACAGCTGCTCTGCAAGAATGTCCCCTGTTTGACAGATGGGGAACTGAGGCTCAAAGAAGGTGTCTTACCAGGGGTCACAGAATGGGTTAGGAGCAGAGCTGGACTGGAACCCAAGGCATGTGCCCTCCAGCCTGCTGCGAAGAGCATTCCAGGATGTCGCTATGAGGGTGACTATGCCTGCGATGGGTAACTCTTGTGCTTTGAAAACATTTTCATACACATCGGCTGATGGAATCCACCCAGTTTTTCTGCAGTGTCAATGAAGGTCAGGCGTTTTATATTTAATTGCACAGAGGATGCTATTGAGTCTCAGAGAGGTTAAACAATGAATCCAAAGTCACTCAGCAAGAAAATAGAACTGACACTCCACCTCTTGGGTTTTTAGCCTTTCTCTTTCCCTACAGGGTCCGGAGAACCTTTTACTCTTTCAGGAGGGAATCCTTCCCTGCACAAGCCTGGGGCTCTGCAAGCTTGCCTACTTTCCTTCAGTGATGTCTGCCAAACAAGTCTAGGCCTCTATGAGCCTTGCAGGGCACACAGGACCCTCTGCCACCCCTTTTCACCATAGGCCTGAGACATGGACATCAAAACCACTGGGCTCCTGAGCCCCACTTGGCCCCTCACTCACAGGGAGCAGAACACCCTGAGATGCAGCAGACCTTGATTTTGTTTTCAAGGGCTCCCCTGGCCCTGGCTGTCCTCATGCCTGTGTACCCCTGCTCTGGACACATTTCCCTTTTTGTTTGCTTGTTTTGTTTTTTGAGACGGAGTTTTGCTCTGTTGCCCGGGCTGGAGTGCAGTGGCATGATCTCGGCTCACTGCAACCTCCAGGTCCCAGGTTGAAGCGATTCTCCTGTCTCAGCCTCCTGAGTAGCTGGGATTACAGGTATGCCACCACCCCTGGCTACTTTTTGTATTTTTAGTAGAGACAGAGTTTTACCACGTTGGCCAGGCTGGTTTCAAACTCCTGACCTCTGGTGATCTGCCCGACTCAGCCTCCCGAGGTGCTGGGATTACAGGGATGAGCCACTGTGCCCAGCCTCTGGACACATTTCGATGTGCTTCTCTAAGCATCTCACCTGGTCTTCCTGCTCTCTGAGCCCACAAGCCCCAGGGAGGAGGTGAGGTGGCAGGGTCCAGAGGTGATCCTGAATCTGCCCTTGGGTGAGGAAGTCAGTCCAGCTTTCCTCCAGGGACCCTCTCTGTGTCTGACCGATGCCCAGGGAGGGGTTGGCCCCCACGCTCTCGGAGGCTTTGCAGGGAGGAGTCCCTGCTTCTGGGAGGACAGGAGACCACTCTGGCTTAGCAGGGTTCTCTGAAGACCCAGGACAAGGCCCATCCGCCAGTCCCCCTGCGTCTCTGAGGTACAACATCTGCTCCCCTCTATCTTCCTTCCCCATAACCTCCCATCAGGACAGTGGCCAGTCTTGGTAGCTCAGACACTGGCAATTCCTCCCCATTACTGCAGAGAGCTTGGACCTTGGCATTTCACCCCTGTCTTCCCGCTAACCTTCTGTGTTCCTGCCATCCAGACCTCTCCCATCCCCGAACTCCGTCTTGCTTTGTTAGGTCATTCTCTCCGCCTGCTGCCCTTGTCTCCACTCTGGCTGTCAACAAGGTCCATCTCAGACGCCCCCAGTTAGAAGCCACTCTCTCTCTGGCCCTTCGCCTGTGCCCCTCCTGGACACAAATAACAGATGTCGGGGTCCTGGAGTTTTCTGTGTGTGTGTGTGTCTGTGTATGTATGTATATCTGTGTGTATGTGTCTGTGTGTGTGTGTCTGCGTGTGTGTGTGTATGTACGTCTGTGTGTGTGTGTGTGTGCGTGTGTGTGTCTGCCTTCTTCCTGCCTCCTGGTCCCATCTTCTCAGGACAGGATGTCCCTGGATGGACAGGGCCTGGGCCAGGGTGGGCACTGGTGAATGCCTGACACATTGAATCCGCTTCCTCTGAATCACAGATCACTGCAGTATACACAGTGGAAGGGCTTTAGGGAAACCTCAGCCACTGCACTCATGTTCAGACAGGGAAGCTACAGCCCAGAGAGGGCCAGGGGACTTGCCAAAGGTCACACAGCAAGCTGGAGCCAGACACTCTGGCTCCCCGCCAAAACTTGTCTGTCTTTGACCCCCGCATGCAAAAGGCCCCGAGGAGACAGGGAAACATTCTTATTGAGTGAAAAATTCTTCGTCCATCCAGCTGAGCTCCAGCGGGTCCCCAGCTGCAGCCCCAGCTCATATCCCTGGAGTGTGCCTCATTCTTTGATGAGCCTTTCTTGGCCACGCTAAGTAGGCTCTAAATGACCAGTTCTTCCATCTTATGGGTCGCCTGGGTTCTTCCCTTCATTTCTTAGGTGAAGAAACTGAGGCTCAGAGAGAGAAGCAGCTTGCCCAGGTTCACACAGCAGGGTCAAGTCTAGAACTTGGCCCACAGGTGCAGTCTGCAGAAACCCAACCACTGACTTACCTGGTTTTCGATTTTTCTTGGGAGGTCCCCACACTTGTGTCCTGCCGGCTCTCCTGTGGGGTCTCTCTGCTGTCCAGCATGCTGGGGTCCCTGTGGGGGCAGCCGTATCCAGCTCCAGAATTGCGTGGCATCTGCCTCAGGCTTCCACTGAAGAGAGCTCAATCACCCACTGTGAGAGGCTGGCCTTGAGTGGGCAGTGGGGGCGGGCATGGGGCAGGGAGAGGCGGCGACTAGAGTGACCCAAAGAGGCTCATTTCCTCTCTATTTTTAGAAGGTCAAAAAAAAAAAAAAAAAAAAGAATGCTCCTCAGTGGTGAAGTTGCTCAGAATTAAAACTTTCCTTTTCTTTGTGGTTTTGTTGGACTCAAAATGAGGAGAATTTTAATGAAGCCAGTGTTCTTTTTAATGCAAATCTGCTCCGGTTCTCCCAGGAGGTCTGGCCAATGGGTTCAGGGCTTCTGGGCCCCCAGAAAACCTCCTCACTGGCTTTAAAAGGCCATAGTGGTTTTCAGCACAAATCCAGACCCACATCTTGAAGTGGCCGCATGCACTCTGCAACCTGGACTTGCAGTCTGCCGAACGCTGCCCTGGGAGGGACCTCACCCACTCAGTCCATCTCCCCCAGGTCCTGCGTGGAGGCTGGAGATCCGAGGAGGAAACTCATCCTGGGGGAAGGAAGGAGATGTTTCCAACACTGAGGACTGTCATATTGTCTACAGAAGCATTTGCACTGACGACACGGTAGAGCCGTCGGAGAACATGACTTTCCGGGGACACCTGAATAGAAGCCTGGATCTGCCTCTTCCTCTAAAGGAAAGAAGAGTGTTAAGGGTGGGTTTCAGGCAGCCATAAAGAGATGGGAAATTCACATAGGACAAGGCCTTTTTCTGAATACCAGGAGTCTCCCCTCTAAGACCATGTATTCATCCCCCAGGACGGCTGTAACAAAGTTTCACAAAGTGGATGCCTTGAAACAACAGAAATGTATTATCTCAAGGCTCTGGAGGGCAGAAGTTGGAGACATGCTCAGGGCTACACTCCCTCAGAGGGCTCTGGGCAGACTCTGCCTTTCTCCCAGCTGCCGGGGGTCACTGGCCGTCCTGGATGTTCCTTGGCTTGCACGTGTGTCTCCATCCTCTACCTCTGCCCTCACGTAGCTATCTTTCCTCTGTGTCTACAGCTTAGTCCATTTACTGTTGTTATCACTGAATACCTCAGACCAGGTATTTCATAAAGAAAATAGGCTGGGTGCGGTGGCTCTTGCCTGTAATCCCAGCACGTTGGGAAGCCAAGGTGAGAGGATTGTTGGAGCCTAGGAGTTCAAGACCATCCAGGGCAACATAGTGAGACTTTGTATCTCCAAAAAATAAAACAAAATTACTGGGTGCCACACCATGGTGTGCGCCTGTGGTCCCAGCCACTTGGGAGGCTGAGGTGGGATGATCACTTAATCCTGGGAGGTGGAGGCTGTAGTGAGCCATGATTGCACCACCGCACTCCAGCCTGGGCAACCACAGTGAGACCCTGCCCAAAAAACAAAACAAACAAATTTTTAAAAACACCAAAACAAATACCCAAAAAGAAACTGATTTCTTACAGCTCTGGAGGCTGGAAGTCCAATATTAAGGTGTCATCATCTGGTGAGGGCTTTCTTGCTCATCATAACATGGAGGGCATCGCATGGTGAGAGGGCAAGAGTGTGGTGTCAGCTCAGGTCTCTCTTCCTCCTCTTACAAAGTTTCCAGTTTCAACATGGGACCCCACCCTGATGACCTTACCTAGTCCTAATTACCTCCCAAGGGCCCCCCCTCCAATCAAGATATGAATTTTAGGGTTAAGTTTCCAACATACAAAAGTTGTTGGAAATTTTCCAACTACAGCAGTCTATGTTCCTATTTTCTCTTCTTACATGGACACCAGTCACTGGAGTAGGGCCTTCCTTGATCCCATAGAACCTCATCGTAACTAACTATATCTACAGAGACCCTGTTTTCAAAAAAGATCACATTCTGAGACTCTGGCAGACATAAATTTGCTGGGGACACATTTCAATTCCATATACATTGTGTACAGGAGGTGTTAGTGGGGATACCTATGAGATGTTCCCAAGAAGAAACAGATCCAGCTGTGCCACAGGTAATGCTGTCTTGTTGTCTGAGTGGTGAAGGCAGGTGACTGAGAAAAAGCTGGGCTGCCTTCTAGTAAACTTGGCTCCAAATGCTGCCTTCCCAATGCTGTTGAAGGGCCACTGGGCAGGTCTGGGGGTGGGTAGATCTCTGTCCTCTCCTGCTCAGTTTCAACTGTTTCTGTTTTTGTTTTTTTTTTTTTGAGACAGAGTCTAGCTCTGTCGCCAGGCTGGAGTGCAGTGGCGTGATCTCGGCTCACTGCAACCTCTGCCTCCTGGGTTCAAGCGATTCTCCCACCTCAGCCTCCTGAGTAGCTGGGACTACAGATGCACGCTACCACACCCAGTTAATTTTTATATTTTTAGTAAAGATGGAGTTTCACCATGTTGGCCAGGATGGTCTCGATCTCTTGACCTTGTGATCAGCCTGCCTCGGCCTCCCAAGAGTTTTAACTGTTTGAATGGCCTGGGGTGAGCCAAAGCAGCCACCAGCTCCCACTGAACATTAGAAGGTGATGGGGAGCCCTTTGCCCATGGGCTGATTGGAGGGACCAAATGAGACGCCACTGCAAGTGACCAGTCAACGTCTCCCCACCCAAGCAGAACCTTAATCAGATAAAAAGACAAAGGATTCTCAGCTCTGAAGTTCAGATGACTTGGTCAAGATGAAAGCTTGGGAAGGTTTGGAAAAATGTGTAAATTCTCCATGTCCCACCCCCCTGCCCAACACCATCCCTCAGATTCTTATGGATCCAGGGAACCAGGAAGGAGAAGAGAGTTCAAACAGAAGCAAGGCCCTGGGGAGGACCTTGAGAAGACAGACTTCCCCTGGGCGGATCTTCCAGGTCTGAGCAAACGGGGACCTGAGGTTGCGCAAGAAAGCAACAGGGCCCCAGAGTGCCCAGCATAGGCCACAGAGAAGAGATGGCTTCAAGAAACCAAGAGCAAAAAGACCTGGCAGAGCCCCTCGCCAGGGCAGGCAGTGAACTGAGGGTCAGGTGGCCTCAAGAGGTGGGCTGGCAACAGAGACTGATGGGAACATGGTCACTCTGCCATCACTGTGAGGAGGGCTGACCCGACCTGGGAACCAGGACAAAGGGTACATCTCAACAGAAGCTCAGGGCTGAAACATGGTGCTGAAAAGGTCAGGGCGTAATGGAGTCAGATTCAGCTGAACTTTTTAGATGGTTAATTTCATTTTGAAAAATAAACACAAGCAACAGGTCAGTTATTCTGTTTGCCCCAGATTCCCTCCTCCTCTCTCCCTTGGCTCTGTCCCCAGAGCCGCCCTGTGTGAGCATCCCTTGGGCTCCTGGCCTCTGGCCTCTGGTTGTCAGGCCAATGCTGGGTGGTGGCAGGATAGCTGAAGGTAGATAGAAGGAAAGGTGGGAGTTTTCATTCCCCTCCCGTCCTCTCTGCTGGCCACACTTTTGGCAGCAGCCCCTCCAGCCTGCTGTGGCCTCAGGGGGAACAGTTCCACCCCAGGTCCTTCAGGTCAGAACTGTCTAGCTCCCTGTGGCTGCCTGGTCATCCCCTGTGGCTCCCTTGACACTGTCCTCACCTCTCTGCCCCTTCCTTAAGTTGTTCACCTGCCCCTTTTAAGGGGCCATCTCTTCTTTGTAGAACCCTGATTGATACAGTGGAGCATGCAGAATGTACAAACGGGACTGACCGCTTGATGGGTATGGGGTCTCCTTTTGGAGTGATGAAAATGTTTTGATAGATAGAGATGATGGTTGCACAACACTGTGAATGCTCTAAATGCCACTGAATTATACACTTTTTTTTGAGACGGGGTCCCATCCTGTTGCTCAGGCTGGAATGCAGTGGTATGATCATAGTTCACTGCAGCCTCAAACACCCAGGCTGCAGTCATCCTCCCACCTCAGTCTCCTGAGTAGCTAGGACTACATGCATGTACTGGCTAATTTTTAATCTTTTTTGTAGAGATAAGGTCTTGTTATGTTTCCCAGGCTACTCTTGAACCCCTGGCCTCAAAGGATCCTCCTATCTCAGCCTCCCGAAGTACTGGGATTATAGGTGTGAGCCACCATGCCCAGCCATGAACTGTGTACTTTAAAACGGTGAATTTAATGTTATGTGAACTTCATCTTAGTAAAATTTTTTAAAAGGTACAAAGGGCTTCACAGTAAAAATTAAATTTTCCTCCCACATTTCTGTCCCCCTCCCTACCATCCCTCACTCATTTCTTTTCTCCAGAGCCACCACTGTTAAAAATTTCTTTTTTGGCATCATTCTAGAAATATCTTGGATATATACAAATGCTAACATATGGCATACACAATTTCGTATTTGCTTCATATACCTGACAGTATTTGCTGGAAAGCTTTTCATGTTTTTGCCTGGAGAGCTTCCTGGTTCTCTTTTTGGGGGATGCGTACAGCATTCCACGGAAGGGCTGGCCCGTGATGCATTTCAACAGCCCTGTGGGATGAACGTTTAGGTTGTTTTCAGACTTTTGCTGTTAGAGATGAAGCTGTGATGAATAATCTTATCCTTGCGTGGTTCGTACTTGAGCTAGTCGGTCTCTAAGATAAATTCCTAGAAATGGGATGCTAGGACTTGACTAATTTTAAACTTGAAGGTGACGGAGTTTTTGTGAAATGAACAGATTAAATGTCCTGCCATTCGGAGAAAGGGCAGAGGCCTGTAAAGTTTTTTTCCCCATTGAGTTACAGAAACTAAAACTGCAGTTTTGGCCACCTGAGTCTGTTGATTGCGGAAGTTTGCGCCTGCTGTGCGTGTAAGGCCAAACACCTGTGCACCAGCCTTCACTGTCAGAAGCGATTGCTGTGCTCACTGGTTTTCAACTTCAAGAATGAAGACCACTGTTTTCCAATCCATTTCTTAATCACCTTCATGAGTTTTGCCATATTTGCTTTCCTCTGGGGTATTGTACATCATTTAACATTTTCAACTCACTTTTATAATTTAAATATGAAATAGCTTTATTCTAAGCAATTATCTCTGTGAAATCTCAAAGTGAAGGACTCGTTATATCAATATACAAAAATGTATGTATAGATATTTCCCAATGCATGTTGAAATTCACATGATACTACCCTCTCTTTCCTTTTTTTTTTTTTTTTTCCATTTTTTTTGAGAGATGGGGGTCTCATCATATTACTCAGGCTGGTCTTGAACTCCTGGGCTCAAGCAGTCTGCCTGCCTCCCACAAGAAAGAGGTATTAGTGTTTTTGGTTTTGTTTTTTAAATGAGCCCAGAGGCTTGGGTGGGAGCTTCATTGCTGTATGTTTTCAGCATTAGCTTTTCTGGGCCACTGTTTTGTTTTCATGTGTATGTATTACCAGGAGACAATTTTTTTTTTCTTTTTAAATTTTAAATAATTGCACCTGGGGCTCTAGCTTGAGGCCTCACAGTCCTCCGAGTGGAGGAGGAACAGGGGAACAATGGGCC